AGGGTGGGAGTCTTCGCCCCGACCATACACTATCAGAACACCTCGGTTCTGTTCTTGGCTGATGGGATATTCGCTAATGTATCGCACACCTTCGCGCTCAACGTGATGTTTTGTAAGCTCCCGGATGGAAGGCCATTCCAAGAGCAGGCCTGCCAAGGTCGTATGATTGATGGGAATCGCGGGCTCACCAGGGGGAACGGGCGGGCCTGGCTCTACCTCCATCTCATCCTCGGCCATCATACGCAATGGCATAGGCTCTGAAGATGGGTGATCGCGATGGGCGTCATTATAGTACGGGTCCACAGAAGCGCCATTGGCAACGTAAGGCGATGCTGGGGCACGTTTGTACTCGTCCTCCACGGAAGACTCTGTCTTGAGAGCTGATGTCGCAAGATGCTTGGGCAAGAGGGATTCCATTTTGATCAATCTCTGATCGAATCGCCCCAGGTGTGTCATGATCGAGTTGAGCGACGTCTGAACAGAGCCAAGGCCCTCTAGAATGTCGGCTTGAGCTTTGTCCGTCCTGTCAATGATTCTTAGTTTTTCGCTATCCAGCTGATGTGGACCTTTCAAAACCTACGCCTTGGGCACCGGGTCACGGTATTTGCATTCCACGCCTTTTTCCTTGCAGGTTTTACATGGCTTCGTCTCGTCGCACTTGGCCTTCAGCTGCCGGCAGCTATCGCACGCCTATATCCAATTAGAACTTGCGCGCTTCCATATCACAAAAGGCTCGTACCTGAGAAGCTCTCGTGTTCTTCTTTTTAGCTGGGACGGATGATGAATAAACACTATAGAATGGTTCGTGAGGGGTTGAAGGATAACCTCCATGTTGCTCGTAGGGCGTCTGATGGGGCACTGGAGTGGGCGGCGGGAAGCTGGGCGCACGGTAGCCACCCGGTGTTGGGGGCATAGAAGGCGCGCCTTCGTAATTCATGTGTCGCGGTGGGTTATCTGGGTATGCGCCTGGAGGCGGTGGTGGTGGCAGTGAGGTCGGCGGAAGATGTGGTGTTGACGACATCCCCTCGGGCGCATGGCCCGTCGAATTGGGTCGGCGTTGATCCTCGGCTGGGTCTCGTTTTATGGGAGGATCTCTTGGACCGTAAGGCGGGTATGGGTGATGCGCTGGATGCGCCGGCGACGGAGGTGGATGTGGGTGCTGCTGCTGAGGGTGCTGCTGTGGTGGGTGTTGGTGCTGCTGTTGCTGTCGATGGTAGTCTTGAACAGGAGGATAGGGCTCTGGCTCATGATGGCGACGATCGGTGTCGTGAAGTGGTTGCGCAGGCGCAGCGTGAGAAGGCGTCGGCGGAGCTGAGGAATGCTCGATGGGTCGAGGAGGGTAATGTTGATACGGGCTCGGAGGAGGATGAGGAGGATGATGATGTAGAGCGCCGGGCGGAGGCGGAGGCGGCGGTGGAAGTTGATGAGCGTGAGGATGTGGTAGTGATACTCCTTGTTGAGGTGTGCCGACTGGCCACGAAGAGAGGCGTGGACGTTTACTATCTGGAGGTGCTGGATCCATGCTTGAGTACTATATATGTATGGAAGTACTGGCACACATAATCAGGAACAAGGCGAAGAGAAAAGCAGGGACCACGTAGAGGCGGTGGCCATGGATAGGTACAATACAATAGTAGAATGGGATAGGATAATGGCAGAAGCGAAACAAAAGACGACCCGGGGAGTGAGGTGAAGCTTCCAGCTGCTCTGGAAGCTGGAGGGGCGGATGATAATTGGGCCCTTCAGCAATAGAGGTAGAGGTTGAGAGGCATGGGGGTGGGTGTGTCTGAAACGACTGGGTACAATTACATGTACGTGTACGAAGTACTGCACTGTATGTACCGTACCTGGAGGTGAAAGGTGAAGTTTGGAGAGGTTCAGGTAGGTAGGTAGGTAGGCAGGTATCCGTAGAGAAAGAGATGGGATGCCGAGTAGACTCTTCCAGCCTGCCCGAGCCCCAGTGACGCGGTGCGGTAGGATCAGCAGTTGGGCAGAGACGAGATGGAGATTCGACAAGCTCTCTCTCGCTCGGTACCTGGGAGATGGACAACGGTGGGGGGCACAGACACAGCGGCGGTAGCGAAAGGACTTTCGAAGGATGGTTGGGATGGCGGAAGAAAAAAAAAAAGGGACGCGCTCGAGACTGAGAACTGGAGATTGAGGGAAGAAAGGCGCAAATTTGGCGAGCGAACGGATCGATTCTTGGGCAGGTATGATGTCGACTCCAAGTCGAGCGCAATTCTGGGACCGACAGCCTCAAAACTCAAGGCACAAAAGACGGTCTGCCGGGGGTGGGCGGGCCTGGCACAGGCAGTTTTGGAGCCAATTGACGAACCGACCCTGCCGAGTTGACAGTCGGAGGAGGCTAAACAGGGCCAGGGGGTTAAGGAACCTTGATGCTTGGCTGTGACTGGGGGGGATGATGATGTCGGCGAAGACTCTTCTTTTTCTTTGGCGGACCCCTGCTGCCCGTTTTTCTCTTCACCCCTGCACTTAAGCGACTACCTAGAGAACAGAGCAGATTTTCCAGCAAGATGGAAGTAACTGTACCAGTACCTGGAACCGCGAGTTCTGCGTTGCTGGGTGCTACAGAGAAAAGGCTGACGTCGGTCGCTACCCGCTGGCTTGGTTCGGGCTTGGGCTTGGTTTGGTTTAGTTTCTAGTATGTTGTTGTTCTCGCTGCTAGGCAGGCCCTCCCTCTCTCCTCTGCTAAAAGGACCCTTTTTCTTTGGCTGAGCGAATATTGAAGTACAAGTCCGTCGGTTGGAGACTACCGCATATGGTCAACAAAGCGGGCGGAGGTGTTGCAGTCGCAAAATATGGATGATGTGAGAGCAGATCAAGCAGAAGCACGTAATGGCAAGAACAATAATAGTATGTGTCAGTAAAAGCAAAGAAGCGCGGTAGGCGAACAACTCAACACCGCAACTGTGCTGATACGGTACCCGCGCCGTACTATAATGGATGCTCACGAGTAGCGGACAAAGTGAGAAGTGAAAAATTCAGGACCTTAGGTAAAGTATCTGGCCATGCGACGGACCGCCCAAAAGGTACAAGCTTCAGACGGGAGATGATGGCTGGGTGGAGGTGAACGAGATTGTGGTGGTGCGCTGAGTTGAGTTACAGTGGAGGCCTCGTGGCCGCTGCGTGGAGCCCAACACCTCGGAGGCGTCTAGTAGCGCACCGACGGATTTGCTCTACGCAGTGTCCGACTAGCCTGTTTCTCACAAAGAGATTTTTTTTTTCCTTTTCTGAAACTCCAGTGGACACTTTATTAGCTTGGAAAATCATACAGCTGACTTGACTGTAGGCTCCAGAGGCATTGAGGGCAAATCGCGTTGTACGTACGTACGTAACTCCTGCTCGATTCAGTCACAGTGACAGTGCACTCGACTCAAGATGCAACGACTCGCCAGTAATGCACAAAGGAACTCTCAGAGTCCCAGTACGTCAGAGTTTAGGTTAAGAGTCCCATCCATTATTCCTGGCTGAATCTCGGTTACTGGAATTCCATTCTCGGTACTAGAGTTCAGTGAAACGTCGAGCGAGAATTAGACGGATAAAGTAAGCTCAAGGTACTACTGTTGGAGCTCCTGGTCATTCCCGACCAGCTGCAGATCATGGAGAAGAAGGTTTTGCCGGTCCTTGCCTACACATCACGGGCCGTTAGAAGAGGTGAAAGATAACGGAAATCTTGATACCCAACACCAATGCTAACCAGCAATGCCCGGACATGCCGTCTAAGTAAGTACTGAAAAAGGGAACGGCTGGTCTAAGTGAACGCATGATGGACTATGGGCGTATAAGGTAGAGAGTACTGTAAGGTATAGTACTCTGAGGGGTCAAAGTCACTCAAGTACCTTGCGATAGGTACAGTACCACCAAGACCCTTGACGATCTTTGAAATTTCCTGCGTACCTTACCAGGTAGTCTATCCGTATTCTCGGTACATTCAAGCTCGACAAGTCTCAGATCTCTGTAGTTGTACACAATTGCGCTCCGGTAAATTGCTTCAGTACCTACCTACTACCTTCAAGATGGAGAATTCCCTCAGTGCCCAAAGCTCGGGGTCGCTGTGCTCGATGAAGCGAAGGAATATGTAGGCATGTACAGCACGGACAATGATCACCATGACGGGGCCTATGCACAATCATTGATCGCAGCAGTGGCAGCGCAATGCAACAAAAGTCACCAGCAGAGCAGCCCAGTTCAGCCACTGAACAGTGATATCCTGGCCCTCTTCCCTGTAGTGTACGTACCTCCCTGCGGAGCAGTTTCTCGGCCACGTGAAAGGTCGCAGGTGACTCTTGTAGCGGGAGCAAGCATCGATATGACGACCAATGATTGGGGTTGCTTTTTTCTTCTGAACATGTCGTAACGTCCCGTAGACGGACAGTTTCCGCCCCATGGAAGTGAGGGAGGTTGGCAGGGCACTCCAGAAGTGAAAGTCGCAAACAACCTTTGGTTAACATGGCAGGTGATTGTTTCCATCCATAAATATTTCGTTGCTATTATCATTATCATCATCATTAATACGAGGTAGATGAGGTTATCCTCGTTTTAAGCAGAGGCCACTTCTTGTTCAGTGCTCTCCCAGCCGCCTCTCACAGACTCAGGTTATTAGCATCCTGTCCAAACCTGCCAGAAACGTCATTTCCTTCCTCTGTCGGACATTGAGTTGTTGACAAACAAACCAGGTCATAAGGAAATATGGACTAAGTTATAAGCAAGCACAAGCCACCTATCGTTCAGTAGTCACCTGCTGGCAGCTTGTAGCAAACAAGATCGTCGATTTTCGTAATAATAATAAATATAAAAAAATAAAAAATAAAAGGAATAAGTATGAGAGTTCCTGTATAAAATTGAGTCCAGCCTCCTTGTGTAAACAGGACGACCTGACGGGCGACTTCTTAGTGAACGTGATTGATTTATTGACAAGAGGCAAAAACGGACGGATCACTTTTGGGGTACGGATACAGGTTAGCCAATCATTAAGATACCTACTGCATCAACAGCCACACGTTACAGCTTATGCTAGTCACTACCCATGGAAAGTCCTTGTCGATCATCTGTCTGTCACCAGTCTTGAATGCAGAATATTGTACCAACTTCTTAGCCTTCGGGTCCGAGCTGTTGTAGTAGATCTGACTCAATGAAAGGAGAGTCATAATACCAAAGCAGAGTGTCCAGTTGTGCAGTGCAGGCTCTGTTTTCTATGTAGTACTCCGTACTCTTCTCTATAAGTCAAAACTTCACTTCAGACGGGGTCTACCGTCGACCAACAGTCCATGCAGGTTACTTTACGTTTTGAGTTCGTGCTTCGAAGGAACACTTGGACCTTCACTGTCACAAGCTGTGTCATGATGACGATCTTCAGCGGGACGTGAAGCACTGCCATAAGGAGAGTATTCATACAACCCTGATGATCTTCCTCAAGTGCCGATAAGCAGAAACTTGAGCTGAAATAATGTAGTATAACCCGAATGTCCACAGCTTGTCTCATATGACGCCGTATATTTGGCGAGATTTGATGGAACTCCAAGGGACAGGCGCAGGCACGGCCCCAGGCGCTACAATTTGGATTGACCAGGGTCTTCTATTCTACTACTTCTTCTACGAGTCCTTCCAATATTGGACATGTTTTATTGGATACAGAATCCGCTCAACCCAGCCAGCCCGGGCCATCCAGCGGCTCCTGCGTCTCTTATTAATGAGATTCGCTGAGAGCTAACGTTTATTAGGGAATCAGAATACACCCAGGGCCAGGCGATGACACTGGATGGATCCCTTGAGCCTCGATGCAATCAGACAGATGCGAATTGGCCACTCTAGTGACAATCCAGAAGCTCATTCACCCAAGCCCACGCTTTGACCCGTCACACAGCGAGCGAGCAAACGTTTATGTTGATCCGACTAAATTTTTCAATTACCGGCCTGCCACTTTATTCCTGTTCTTGCTTCGCTTCCAAAGCCAAGCCACGAATGGAAGTCGAAGCACAATCCTCAGCTTCTATGCTCTCGTGCTGACCGACAAAGTGAGATAATGATGGGCTTGGGGTGACCTAAGTCGCCAGCTAATGCGCAACTAACAAGATTGACGCTCCTCTCGACGCATGAATACTTGGTCACGATGAAGCAATGGTCGTCACCGCTTCTTGCTTGTGCCCTTCACCTACCAGTATGTATGGTTGGATGGACGGCTCGATACGGTGAATCTCTTCCTCGGCCAGTGGACCCATCTATCGTCACAGGTAGATTTATACGCATGGAGCACGATGCACCCAAAATTGACTTTCTCCGTAGGACCATACCTACATGCATATACGTGATCATGCGTTATCTTGCCCTAATGTCCTTTCGATTTCAATCGTCCCCAAGTAGGGCATCCATGTGGCTGGACAACCAGAGACTCAGGGCATGTTCACATCGTTAATATCACTTACCTACTAATTCAAGGACCATCTGTCCCCTAGCCACAAAAAAGCTTCTGGAACATCGGACTGTCTGATTTCCATCTACCAAGGCCCCATTAGCAACCGGGGACGAATGCACATAGTTAACTAATGGACCCTTCGCCGGCTGCCCGATACTACTGGAAAAGGCAATCAGTCTGTAGTGTGTAAGGGCAGTATCCATAGTTTCCTGCATATGAGGTGCATGAGGCTAGGTACAACTATTGCTAAGTTTTTGGGTGTTTCTTTTGGGACATCCCTGACTGTACGCGGGTTAATCAAGGGAGGATAGGTATTGTCGATGAACAGATACAGTACTGGTATGTAGACTACATGTTACCTCCGGCTCAAAGGCGCGCTGGATCTGACTCGCGAACGATTCAAGACCGCTTGCTCCGTAATAGCCTCGACCTGGCTGTCAAATCGGCCGAGGGGATCGCACGTATGTACATCTGGAGAGAATCATCCCACAGCCAAGTACTGATGTATCACTACCTGTACCTTGCATGGCATTGCGCCTGGGATTAACCCCCCTGGATAGCAAAGCCCTCACTGTAACGTCGCCTACTGGCATTCATGGTACTTTCGTCAGTAAGCCTATCGGACAAGGCTCGTTGTACATAGCATCTGCGCTAGGTGGACATTCATACCCAACATTTGCCTCTCGTCAAACAAGACACAAATTCGATATCGCACCAAAAAGGACATATGCTCAGGAACACTCCCTTCTCCATGCTTCCAAAACCCAATCATGGTCAGCATGGAGAAGGGTGTGTGCTTAGTTGAACTCGATGGAATACCTAGTTTTCTTGAATGCCACTACTCCGTATTATGTGTTACGATCCCTCTATTGAAATGTCATACCGGCTTTTCTACCTGTCTTCGGTATGTCATCCGCTTGGAATCGCCAATTGGTCCAGCGCTGCTTCTCAAGTATTATATTAAGTTCATGTCACGGTCAAACCATTAGTCTAGAGATTTGATATTCTTTACTGTGCTGCCTTTGTAGCATCGATCTCAATGTCAATTGCTCAAGGCTCGGGCGACGTCAGAGGCGTGTCAATAATCAGTGTGATAGCCCACAGAGGAGCGGAGTACATACCTAAACTCATGTCACGATTAATTATTACTGGTTACCAAGGTTGCTGGCAATTTGCCATCAACCCAGTCGTTGGCGAGCTCAGGTGTCAAACCCTGGTTGAAAACGGTGGGAGATGACCTCTCTTCAGAGCTTTCCAGATCGTCGGGACGACGCTAATGGATCAATAACTTCCTTGGGGTTCGTCTGGGAACGTTGGCGTCGCTGAATGAGACGTCATGTGTATGCGAATGCAGTGAAGCGATGCAGGGGGGTCGCTCCAGACATGGGTAACCGTACATATGAGTGAGTCCCTACACTGCTGAGCGGGCATGATTGTGAACTTATTAGTCAGTATGTCTAAACCAGTAACGTCTCTACTGTAGGGCACTCACTCTACCTTGCTGTAAGGTTTAAGAGGCGGTGCGGTACGGTACGGTACCATAGGCGTACGTAGGTACAATTACGTATGTAGACGTACGTGGGTGTAGTCTAGAATGAGACAAGCCACCACACACCGACAAACCACGACGGGCACCGACAACATGGAACTGGGTCAAGCTGGCCTCTCAGAGCCGTCACCGACTACGCAGCAACAGGGGGTAGAAAACGACTGGAGGAAAAAGCAAAAAGACCACGGCAACGAGTCAGTCGCGGCTCGTCGGCGTCTCCAAGTGACCCGGAGGTTATTAAACACAACACAGTTCACAACTTGAAAGTTTAAGAGGCTCGGAGCCGCCTGCGGGCCGGTGCGGACGCGGAATCGGCTTCTTCACTTTCCGTCCGTACGCTACATAGTAGTAGACTGGCCTGCCTTCTTCACTTAAAGCCATCACGTCGTATCGTAGTTACTCGCGATGCAGTAATAGAGCAGCGCTAGAACAAAACAAGTGCAAGACGGTGACCTCCAGTCGCATTGGATCTAAAAGTATCCCCAAAGGCGCAAATCTTTCTTCCGACGACGAGCCACGCGCCACATTTACTTCTCTATCTCCCTCTCTCTCTTACGCCAGTCAGGATATGCTAGTCTAGCCGTTTCGTGAAGCTCGTTCATTTCTATGACAGAGTAACGTAGAGATACAGATTACAGATGATCCTCCGACAACTTAATGACACCTCGCTTATTCCTATGTGTTATTCTTGGTTGCCCTGAAACCTTCTTGGAGCTTTGTTGCCCTTGCTTGAAACTCAGCAAAGCAGGGGGCGCGGCCAATTCTTGGATCGAATCGAGACCCATACAAGCTGCTGAAGGCTGAGACATTGCAGGTGCCGTGTCCATGTCGTCGGTGACAGTAGACCTACGTCGTCGCTTCAGCATGTCATTGTCTTCCTTGCTCGGCCGCCAGGCCCAAGATGGCTCCGCGCCGTGGTGGGATTTACCAGTGTGCACAACTTCACCACTCAACACTCATCAATCACCAGTTGTTCCTCTTGGCTGGTAAACAAACCTGAATCGTTATTGGGGGTAACGTTGGGGGGCTTGTGTGTGGTCTCTTGGTGTTGGTGGGCCCCACAGTTTCCAATTCTACATTGTTACCCTACATTTCATGGCTACGACATAGGTTCGCAAACCCATACCTATTCCAGTGATAGTAGCTATCAGGCGCATTGCACCGCCTTTTCTTCGTTGTTCTAGAAGACGCACTTTTATTGTGACCTATCGACTCTGTTCAGCCACCCCGACTGCCCGAATACATTCCCGGTATGTATTGACGCCTTCAGTTATCAGCCGGGCAGTAAGACTAACTCCGTATAACCTAGCTTGTACATAGAATTGTCACAGTATCGACGTTGATCCAGCTTCCATTATGATAACCCCTCAGATGCATCTATCTAAGTAGGTATGGTAATAGCAACCCCAGTTCTCATGTAGCATTGATCTGGCTTACTCCAAGCGCTGAAACATGAATGGCTGAAATACACTTGCCTACCTAGGTCCCAGTATCTGAGCTACGGAATGTGTCTACAAGTTCACTACCCTACGCGATATGCAGGTCATCCATTACAAGTATATCAATATAATACTAGGGCTGAGTTGCTTTATATACAACCCAACGAGGTTATGTTATCGTGCGCCAATATGTAACCGGAGCTCCAAATCATGGTTGAAATGGAGCTCATAATCCGAAAGCGTAAACGGAGTTTCCTGTGCCGCTGGTAGATTTCCTTGCTAGGGACTCTCACCTGGAATCTAGTATCAATACTTGGATAAAGGCAAACCCATGTCTCAGAGTCAAATAAGACGAGCCATGCCGCTATAATAGACAGGTGCTATCAGCCCAGGTACCCGACGCCATGCTTATGGAGGGGGACAGATACTGGGACGCGGATCTCAATCGCCATATGCACTCTGCACTCTGCACTCTGGCTAAGGGATGATATTTCATACTATGTATGCTCCACGGCTGACTGGCAAGCATATGTATCATCATCCGCACCATGTTACTGCAAGTCACGAGAGACAATTTACACACCGATGCGGGGAAAGTATATCGTTGGCACCAGTCACAAAAGTTGCAGAGCGGGGTTCTGAAAAATGCCGTGAAGGCCTATTCCTGTACGAGTTCCAAGTAGGTACTCCGTATATCGCGTTGTTATGATCAGCAACCACATGACCCTGAGATAATGCCCAACACGTGCAAACTGATGCCGGTAGAGGGCGCAATAGCGCGGGATGAGAGATTGATATCAGGCCATCTAAAAGGGTCCGAGCGGTGGACCAAGGTCAAGATCGTTTTATCAACCAAAACATATCAACACATGAGGGTAGACGCTGGCTGCTGAATCCTGATGTCTATACTTCAAGCGCAGATTTTGCAATGATGTGCTTCAGCGTGTGCCTCTCTGTGTGTTCGTGCTCAACAACGAAACAGATAGCAAGAGTAAGAGTAAGTAAGATGAGATGCCATATCAGTCCACACGGACCACGCCACGACGTAGCCAGGCCAAGGTTGCAGGGCCAGATTGATCGTATGCTACCTTGCTTCGGCCGCCTTTTGTTTCCTGCCATTTAACTCGTCACAGCTATACGAAGTCCTGGCTATGATACCTGTACCACCCATTTCAGTGTCCGGAGCATGAGCGAATAGCTACAGCAGTGTTCATGGCATGGCTTGCAATACACATATACATACCATAGTACACACACACATACATACATGGTCAAGGATCTCGGGTGAGGTCGCGTGGCGCGCCAGCAGCCCACAACGCGGCTGTTTTCACCGTTTCTGGCTATGTCGCTGAACCTAGTGCCATGAACCGAGATTGAAGAGATCCTAATGATATGATGGCGATAGCACTCTGTCGCAAGCCATTCGTGTGATCCGAAGCCATATTGAAAGCGACCTTCTGCTGATGGCCTCTAGATGATTCGTGTTTATCTTGTTGATGGGATTGAGGCTTGCTAGCTGATACACGCAGTGCACGCACCAGTTCCAGATCCAGATCCAGATCCAGTTCCAGAGTCCTTAGCATCCAATACACAGGAAAAGAAAAACTTTATGTCGATCATGAGCTGGAGGGGTTGGAAAGTGTACAAGTATGTAATAGCTTTTGAGGACCTTGGCCCCAGAAGTTTTGCCGGGCACGAGCGCAAAATGAGCCGGTCTTTTGTTCACAACAATGTATATCATCATATCGAGATTGAGAAACATCATGGCCTCGCGAAACCTTCTCCGAGATAACCTGGGCAACTAGACTCGACCTCGACAGCCCTATGATATCGCTCTTTTGAGGTCAATGCTACATCATCATCGTCAAGCGTTGAAGTCGCCGACAAAAGGTCCGTGCTAGGTACTCTGAAAGCTGAGGCTTACTTCGTTCCATGGACCGTTCTTGGCTGAGGCGGAAGTAGATTGCCTCTTTTTGTTTCACGTTCAGGGTCAAGATGACCTGTCTCTTCGGTCTATAAGTTCAAGAGTTAATTTGGCTGTACTATGTACAACGACTGCGGCCCGTGAGTACAAGAACAACGTCACAAAGATGCCGTTGGCAGTCGGTCCTTTTGCTCCATTGATTTCAATTGGCGTTTGCAGCCGGAGGTTAGGAAACAATCGGTGACGACGAACTGCTGGTACATGTGTCGAATTTCACGACAAGGATACTTTGTTCCAGTAATGCGAACGGATCGACGAGACGCCTTGATAAGATTTACTGACTTCCATTTTCTGAAACGGAAATTTCGTTGCGTGATGACTGCCAAGCTGTTCCACTGGGCTTCAGGCTGAACTGTAGGTCTGGGGATGGGCCGATGGATTCAGCATCTGGTAGATCTGGTATGAAAAAGGCAGCTTCATAAATAGGCAGCAATCAAAGAAACTGGAAGCTACAATCGCGTTATCCAAGAATCTGGTTCATGCCAGCAAGCCTAGTCAGGCTGGAACACGATGATGATTCTTTCATCTCGTAACTGACGGAGCTAGACTGTTGTTCCTGGAAAGCCCGAACCTGCAAGGCAAAGGTCGAAATGACGAATCTGCTCCTGATATCCATTTCTCTTCGGGGTTTCGCCTGTCCTGGTCTGGGTGGCATAGTTGCGTGACAGTTGTGATCAAAGATTTCCTAATGTCACCCATGCGTCGTCTCGTACTTCAAGGCCATTTTGCCTCTTCAAACAAGGCCCCTTTGCACAAGTCGGTTCCTCGGCGCGAAGATGCGACTCGGGTGTATGATGATCCTGTTCGTGAAAGCTCATCGCCTTCCCAATGTGAGCTGTTGACGTTATCTTTTGTGTAACCAAACCGATGCTACCTGCCCATGTCGCCATAGTTACGCAGCTATAGGTAGGTGAGAAGGGAAGTTGATAGGCCAGCCCCATGTTTCGTGTCTTTGGCTGACAATTGACGCGAGGTATATGCCAGCTGCCGGTATAAGCAAGTATGAATACGCTATGTTTATTCCACCACTGAGGTTAAGTGATTGCAGAGTGCACATCTTTCCGGTTCGTGGGTCAGAGTTTTGGTATGATCCAAGCTTCAAGCTCAGACTTGCAAAACCATCCATCCATATATGCCCGTTGTCTGGCGCAACAGGTGATACTATCTGAAAATGCGTTCCCAGGCGCGTTTTGTCGTCCAGGCAAACTCCCCCCTTGGGAGAGCTTGGACAAACATAGTATGCAAATAATGGCCCACACAGCCCCCTCAAGCTGTACAGTCGTTCAATGTTGGAGAATAACCCCGTGTCATTCAACGTCACTTTCGGCGATCTTTCTCCGCTTAGGACGTCCCCGCAAGGAGATGTCGTGATGCCCAACGAGCCGGGTCTCATCTTGGACTGGCTCGTATACGTCGACAGGACCGTCATCTGCACCCTCAGTGAAGACTAGGTCGCCTCGTCGACCAAGGACCTCCTTGCCAGCTTCCTCTAGGAGGATACCAAATGCCAAGAGAGCTGTCTCATCCATGCTCCGTTCAGTAATGTTTCGGCTCTCCGGAGGTTGGCGCTCGCGGTTTCTGACGCTGTAGAAGGCACTGGTGTAAGCGTGAATGGCTTTGAGGAGGTCACTATCTGGCAGGACACCCTGTCCTCCACAGGGGAGGTCATTTTCATGAGCGTAGTAGATGTCGTGCTCCAAGTAACGCACGGGTGCATCTTTCCGCCTGAATAGGATTTCGTCAGGAGCTAAAGGGATATCCTTTGTGGAGTATCGGATTGCCTTGGGGTGACGAGGTGTATACTGTAACTCTTCCGGTTCCGTTACGGGACCTTGGTCATGTGAGACTTTGCCTGGGTTATGTGAGCTTCAAATCGGACGATCATAGGAGAGCATAATACCCGCTACAGCATCATAGACAGTTGCATGTCTGCGTTTTGATCCCTTGCTGGGATCCTGCTTGGTAGCCACAGGATCTCGGTTGGAGGAGACGCCACTTTGATGTAAAGGTGCTGTACGTGAGTCGTTCTTTGAGATGTCCATGACGTGCAATGAAAAGCTAGGTTGGAGTTTGGAGGTTGATGTTTGATCTGTTGCTCTCTACTGTTTCAGGGTGAAAAAAATATCGAGATTCTCAGACACTCGAGATATGCGCACAGAAGCATTGTTTGTTGCGCAATGTCAAGGATGTTGAGTGAGGTGAAATAGAAAATCAGAGCGGAATGGATAAAACGAATTCGAAAGGTCAGGTACCTAGACAGTTTGGTGCTTGTTGTCAATGTTAAGTTGAGGCTAATGAAGATGGAAAGTTTGGGTGGTCAATTGTGGGGTAGAAATAGGGTAGGTGCCTTAAGTAAGGTAGGTAGTAGCGAGTGGTCCCTTGAAGTTCAACAAGCACGCCTTGCAGCTGACATCACCACCGGCTCGAGGCTAACCACATTCCACATTCCACAAGCTGCAAGATTGAGATTACTGCCGTTGTTCACTGCCTTACATTGCTTTGGCTTATAATTAAATTTGAAAATTGTCTTCAAAGTGTCATTGCCCTGGCACAGATGAATGCAGTCCAACCTTCTCGCTCGTGAAACGGGCGATCTCCGCCATCAAGACTTTACTCGGTCCATCACTTCTGAACTCCTACGTTCTTTTGCGCCAGCTCCTCAGCACCGCTTCAATGGCGAGAGAACGCCCAAGCATAGCGCTACGGATGTAGGCGAGCGTGTGCACAATTTAAGAGCACATGGAGCAGGCGTTAACACACTCGCCCTTGAGAAGTTCGATGGACGTATCCTCCTCTCTGGGGGGGCTGAAGGAGGCATCAAGGTCTGGAATTTGGAAGACGCTGAAAACCCCAACAAGTTGCACACTTTCCGCCCCGTGAGCAGCATAGCCAGGTCCACGAGAGAGGAGTCTTCTCTTGGGCATAGTCACGGTGTCACTCATGTTGCCTTTTATCCTTTCGATCCGGATGCTTTTCTTTCAAGTTCTTACGACAAGAAGCTGAAGCTATGGGCGACTCAGCGTTGCACTCTATCGGCCACCTTTGACCTGAACGCAACTATCTACTCACACTCTACCAGCCCTGTAGCAGATCATCTTATTGTGGCGTGTGCCACGCAAAACCCAGCAGTTCGGCTGGTGGATTTGAAATCAGGGTCCGCTGTACAAGCTCTTGTAGCACATGGCGGCCCTGTTTTGTCAACTGCATGGAGTCCGCGCCACGAGCATGTTCTTGTCAGTGGCCACGCAGATGGGAAAGTCAGAATATGGGATATTCGTCGTTCTGGTGGTGTTGTGGCGCTGCTCGACCAGGAAGATTCACTGGGCGTCGTTCACAAAATGAAACATCTCAGTGCCACAGGGATGGATTCCAGTCAGATCCCACACTTCCGTACCTCGGCACAGGCGCACGATGATGCAGTAAATGGCTTGCAGTGGACCGACGATGGGAAATACATCATCTCAGCTGGTCTCGACCGTCGCATTCGTGTTTGGGACGCTGCCACGGGGGCTAATACTCTCGCCAGTTTTGGCTCTCTTATTCAGAATCAACACGCGAAGACAGCAAGTATTTTGGTTTCTCCGGCGCATCTCACAAGTGGCAATAGTCTTCTATTCTGGCCAAATGATCAGGAAATTCTTATTCTCGATCTTCATGATGGCCATGTTGTGACACGGCTCCGGAGCCCGGGCGTGACAAACCCTATGAGGCCACGAGGGGGCGAGATGGGAAGAAACAGAATCACGAGTATAGTTTGGCGCGCATCAGGGGGGACGGGACGCCCAGTTGGTCCTATTATGGGCGGCGGCAACTCGGTTGGGGCCGTATATAGCTCCCACATGGATGGGAAAATTCGAGCTTGGGCACCCCAAATACCTGGACCTGAGGATGTCGCCGCGGAAGAAGAGATGCATGAGGAAGAGGAGGCTAAACAGAAGAAGAGAAAGGCTGTCGAGGATGCATATAGAAGTCTTATGGGCAAGAAGATCACCTTTACGTAGTGTAGTTATCATGTCCGAGCCTGCGCTTCTGTGTGTTAGTAGATTTTCAAGTGTCCATAATATGGTATCAAAGACGCAGTCTAACATGTCGCAAATACGGTTCTGGAAGCTAGTGATATACGCTGCAGAGCCAATGATAAGGACAGTCCCCAACGCCACTCATATGCCCTATTCGCTAAAGGAGCCCAGTATCCATCACAGCACAATAACAACCAGGCATATCCATCCGTCGGGGTATGATGCTTCCCGCATCAGCTCCTCTAAGGGTGCATCAAATGGTACCCCAGCTCCGTGCATCACCACCTTGGCGAGAATAGGATCTCGGCTGCTTGGGAATAGCCCTGGTAACATCTCTTTGAGAGCCTGGCCCAGGACTCTAGGGCGGCGGTCTGAACCTGTCGCTGGGACAAGAGACTGGATGACTTTGAAGGTGGCCTGCTCGGAAGACGCTTTTGACGATGAGTCCGAGGCGGTGGTAGGGATGTAGACACGAATGGGGACATGTTTGAGTGCTGTTGGTGCGTTGAGTAGATGGCTATTGATACGGTTGAAGGACGTTTGGTCATTGTCTATGACGGCATTCCAAAGTTGGGTGGTGTTATCTTTTGACATTTTCATGATTTGGTTTGCATTGCCATTGCGGATGAAGTCAGCCTAAGCGAGTCAGCTCTGCGTTATTGTGAGATGAGCAATTCCAGATCTCCGATGCGAATATACACACCAAGAACATGTATTTAGCTGCAGGCTCTTGTGTAGCATATGAAACTCACCTCCTTCACGCAGTTGAGAAAAGTATCCGCAATATCCCAGCCCACTCCATCATTCACGGTCAACCTCCACGGCAGGCGGGGTTGATACAGGTCTACCAGCAATCCCACAGCCAGGTTCCTCAACTGTACATCTTCAAAGTGGAAACTGGAGCAGGGCGAGTTGAAGAAAATCGACAGTCTTGGGATGAGAAGAGCCAGGTAGCTGAAGCGCGGAATACTAGTGATGAAAGGCGTTGTCGGTGAGGCTGGATGGGTTATGTGCAGCGGAATCCGGGCGTTCCATAAAGCTTGTGGGATGGAAGAGGACATTATGACGAGAGCATGGTGAGGGGAGTGAGATGCTCGGTGAAAGTGTCGGTTTGGTGAGTCAAATCATAGTACCTGGCGGCGAGTCTGCGAGACTCGGTGCCTGCCTACCTGCTGTAGGGTAGGACTCGCTCATGTGATTATTAAGCTGGCGACCTACTAGTTAGTATGACACCTTTCAGCCACGTTGAATTGTGAATAACCTGCGAATGGGGGGGGGGGATCATGGCAAACGATCAATGGTGGCATTATTTTCAAATAAAAACGGTTTGCAAGTTTAGTGGTTTGTATACCCTCAGGTCTAAAGCCTTCGTGATTGCTCTGGCTAAAATAGTTGTGAGGAATGCAGGCAAGCATATGACTGACGGTTAAATCTGGAACCAAAGTGAAACCTACTCTACAGTTTCGGTTCATGAGATATCCATCTGTCTCATTAAAGTGTGGGAGAGAACAAGCACAGCCAATGTGTCCTCTCTCAGTGTCGCCTCATTATACAAGTTGGTTGTAAGCACACTGATTTCATTACATGGAGCAATGCCCAATCATGCTAGAAAACTACAAGCCTCATATCTGTCGTCACCTCATCACGAACGACGAAGCATTCGAAACGTCCAAGTACAGAAAACAGGCTTATGGTTTCGTTCAAACAGCGTCACATCGTATACAGCTTGTTTAGCTATGATAAGTCAAGGCGCTACCGATCAGCAACAGACTTTTGAAAGTTATGATCGTTTCGTCAGCCCAGAGGTTGCATGAGGTTAGGCAACGTCAAGGTTCTACTAAATCACCAAATTCTGGTTTATTCGTGAGGTCGTCACGAAATAAGAACCTTGGACGATGCAAGCGGCTCAAGGGTAGCCCTCTTGGCATGATGTGTGGCACGATTGGTGGCATCTCGGCACCTGAAGCTATGATTTCTTCCAAGACTCAGAAGCTCAGTAATTGCCCAGTCGGGTAAAAAAAAAGAAGAAGAAAAAAAGGCCTTGGCCTGCGACATCATTTTTGTTTCAGAACAGAGAAGTGGTCCTTGTCGGGCTGCGATAAAAGGTGAGGACTGTCGAATGGCAGATGTTCACACTCACCACACCTTAGCTGAAGCCTGGTCCGCATGACCTCATCTGGCAACTCGTTGTGCTGGTGACCTGTTATGAGCCACGGTAGACGTGTCAAAGAGCTTCAGGGCCAAGAAAACGGTCTCAAACAGGCTTCATTGGATTTTCTTTTCTGTTGAGGGAGGGGCGTCATCGTCATGTGGTAGAGAGACCCGTGAGTTGTATTGCTAAATTGCCAGATATGTAGTATTTAGATAAATAAGGAGCCTCGTCCCAAGGCTGCTGCTTGTAAGGAAATTACAGATAGAACAGCATAAACCTCAACTTCGAACAGAGTATTACAACCCTTCTACATCAAACCTCTCCTGCAAAGTAGCCATGGCTCTCGATCGTGTCGTCAGCTTGATTCTGCGTGCTGCAGAGCTGGTATTTGCAGCCATCGTCGCAGGCGTCAATGGCGAATACCTGCACAATGCCCGCGGCGCAAGCTCATGGCAGCTCGGCCGGTTCATCTATACTGAAGTCGTTGCCGCGCTGGGAATATTGTTCTCCTTGCTGCTCCTCATTCCATTCTCGAGCACTTTTGTTCACTGGCCTCTGGACATCTTCATGTCCATCAACTGGTGGATCGTCTTTGGTCTGCTCGTCGATGTAAGTCACAGCCTTGTTTGATACCCTACTCTACTCTACTCACGGTAGTTGTACATACACTAACGGCACTCAAAAAGCTCATTGGAAACTCTTGCGGCCGTGTATTTGACTGGGACAATGTGCATCCAGTTCACGGAGATCAGTGTGGGAAGACCAAGGCCGTGATCGCCTTTAGCTTCCTGTCGGCACTTCTCTGGCTTGTTTCGGCTCTCGTGGGCTTCTTCTGGGTGCGCCGACGTGAGCGTACCGTTGCCCGTGCTGAGGCGGCTCACCATAACCGCCGCCGGGGCCCCTGGTTCCGCAGCCGTGTCTAAGAGCAGATGCAGTTAGGTGTGAAGCACACCAGCTGTGCTGAAGAACCTTTGGGAGGCGGGAGGGTAGGGTTACTGGCTGCTGCTAGTGAGGCAGAGCAAAATATCAGTTGGCGATTTGGTTGGCCTTGGCGACATGATTGGATTGCGTGTAACATTCCGAAATGCCGTGTCGGGTGGGAACTAATACGTGAGATGGGTGGATGATTTCCTTGTTTTTCTTTTTGTTGTTGTTTGCATTGGAACTTGGCGTTGGACAAGGCAAAGCAAGCAATGTGAAGTTGAGCAGATCTGGATACCCTTTGATACGATTGACGGCCACAACAAGTCCTTACTGTGCTCACTTACTTACGTACTAACTGAAATTAATTAATGTATACTTTGCTACTATTTTTGTCTCGTCTATGTACTACCTAGTCGACCAACGTGGGCACATTTAATGTTGTAGTGGATGAGACTGTAATAGTTGGATGCTCTTGATGTATTTCGACGTCATTTGTACGATTGCAAAGAATATTTCAAATATGGATCAATGGAGAACAGTGTCATGATCTGCAACTAAAAATGGACGATGGAATCTGATTTGAAGTCCCTGATGTCTGTTATCCATATTGTACGCGCAGCACAGTATACAGCACCTACCATTCAGTCCATACATGAGATGGGTGAGATTTGGCCACAACCTCTTCTTACCCGTTTGATCATCCTCTGGCCGACCTGATTATCATGCAGGAGACGTGCCTAACCGCGTCAACTGTTACTGTCCGTCTTGTTTCCATGATCATCGAGATCTACGACCAGAAAGAACCCTAGTCCCGTCCTAGGCACAGGGGCAGGGTACGAGGTTGACTGCAAGCCTGCACTGCCAGAACACACGTCTATCGGAAAACTGGCGAACAGGAACAAAAGCCACCATGGCAAGCAAGCGTCCCGCATGACAGAGCTTCCTTCGTCTGCACGACTCAGCGCTGGATATTCCCGTCGTTGTGGGACCTCGTGATCCTGGTTTTAGCTGTGTCACAGAGGTTCTAGAGCGGCCTTGGCCAGAAAGAGAGCTCTTGGCCCAGCGGATTCAAGGCCTGGAGAGGCATCAATGCTGTCATAAGTCGATTTCTTTGTCTCGTTGGACCCGGAAAACGGCCTTTCTCTTGGCGTCATTTTGCTCAAGGTAAGGTAGGTTGCCTTGGTGGCTAGTGGGACCAGCTGCCAACTTTGAACCTGTGAGCGCGGGGTAGCTTGGTTTGAGAGCTGGGGGTGGCCTGTCTGGACAAAAAACATCAGAACTCGCTTCCACCCTGAATCGCGCTAAAAGTGTCGCTAGATCTCGCCGTTTTCTGTCACCTTCTGGGGCAGGGTAGCTGGCGCCACGCATCACAGCCATGATACACGCCACACGCCACAGGCTCTAGCTTTGCATCATCTTCTTGTAGATCTCACTTTCAAGCCACGGAGCCCCTTCGTCATTCCCTTTTCACATCCCGTCTCCTGCTCCACAACATGAGCTTGGCGCATTGGAAGAGCAAGAAATCCGATGTTCGATGCTTGTTACGTTTGTTGCTTTCCTAGCTTTCTTCCTCTGGTGCTTCTGCCCTACGAATCGTCAACGTCATATCTCGCGTGGCATGACGCTAGATTGTCCCTGCAAACAAGCCTTCACCAATCGTCGCCAAGCTCAGGGCTAGACTTCTCTAAAGATCGGAGTAAATGCTATGACGCAGAATGAGGTCGGTGGAGGGGTGAAACGAGAGAGGAGAGAGGAACGAGGAGACAGGCCGAGCGAGATCTGAGGATCGAAAGAGTTTGGGCCTGCCAGGTTTGCTGAGGATGGCATCGAGATTGAGGCTCCTGGGATGACAATCTTCAACTATATAAGATTCACCGTATCTCTCCTCAAAACTACCTTTTCTACTCATCATCAAACAACAGCATTCAAAGATACCCAAAGCATCTTCACTTTGACTCAACTCCCACACACCATCTTCAAGATACCCAATCACTTCAGAACAACTACTTAAAAAACCACTTTCATCATGTCTGGTCTCATCAACAAGGTCAAGGACGCTATCCACTCCGACAAGGACAAGTCCCACGAGCATCCTACTGGAGACCATCGTGCGAACCATGGCACTACAACCACTGGTGGCCTAGGATCTTCCACCCATAACACTGGCACAGCTGGTGGCTTGACTGGAGGCTCTACCTACTCTGAGAACATGCCTGGTCACACTACCGGACGCACTGAGAACCTACCTGGCCATACCACTGCTGGCGGCCTTGGCTCTCATTCTTCAGGGCTTCCCGAAGGAACCACGGGACCACACGGAAGCCGCCTTGCCAATGCGGCTGACCCAAAGGTGGATAGTGATCTTGACGGTTCACGACGTGTTGGTGGTTCCAACACTTATGGACAGACTGCTACTGGAACTTCGGGTCTTTCAAGCCACGGCGCAGGTGCTCATGGTGGCATTGGCGGTACATCTGCTGGTTACAGCACTGGTCCTGGAAACACTGCTGGTCCCCATTCCAGTGATATGGCCAACAAACTTGATCCAAAGGTGGATAGTGATCTTGACGGATCCCGACGACTTGGCGGTTCTAACACCCACGGCCACCAGGGCGGTCTCGGCGGCAGCACTGGCACTTATGGCCAGACAACTACTGGCACTTCAGGCTTCTCCAGCCATGGTGCCGGTGCTCACGGCCCCACTGGCACTCACACCGGCACCCACACCGGCTTGGGCGGAACTGGCTCCACCGGTACATACGGTTCTACCGCTGGCACCGGCCCTGGTCCTGCTCCAAAAACCGCGGGACCACATTCTAGCGACATGGCCAACAAATTGGACCCACGTGTGGATAGTGATCTTGACGGTAGCAAAACAGTTGGCCAGGAGAAGACTTTCCAGCAGTCGTAAGTCTTTCCAGCGACCTGTCCCGGTACCCCGTGCAACGACTCCTTTTTTTTGACACCAATTTTCTCCAACAGCAACAACAACTTCGCCGGCCGGGATCCCACCGATGCTACTCAGGTTCCTCCTTCTGTCCTGCAGAAGCATGTTCCCACTGAGATTGCTCATAATGATCCTCACAGCGACCACAGCCGACGACACAGCAGTACTCACCAGGAGACTCACCGGGGTCTGTAAATAGGAACTGAGGGCTTAATGATTATTTATGGATATGTAAAGCAGCATTTCTTTAATGAATATTAATGGATCATCTTGCATGAAAAAACCCTTATATCTTGAAGTGTCTCGAGTGATGTTTACGAATTAAGAAGCGTTTATAATTAAGTACGGCGATTTATTGATATTAAAAACGGTCAAGAAGTTGAGCATTTCATAACATGGGAATGGCGGAAGAGAGTAGCTTAGTACTTTTGAAATTAATGCATATTAACTCAGCAGTTTCACTAGATCTTCTAACATAGAATTCTTGCTTTCTTTAATGGTGTATATATTCACTATAAAAGAACCCTAGAACCGCTTACTAAGTCGCCTATTACGCTGATCCTGAAATTGGTCAAAAGTATGCCCGATGTCGGATTTAATGCCACGTTCTTCATGGAAGCCGAGTATCGTGATCGCCTCGCCCCTAATAGTACCCTCACAGTTGAGCCAGGTAAGGGGCTTCTCGTCACCTGGGGGTAGTATGGAAGATGGTAAAGAAGATGCCATAAACTTCAAGATCATCGTCCTGTGGTTCCCACGAAGGGAAGATATCAGGCCAGACCACAGCTAGGATAGGTGTATCAAGAAGTGCGAGTGCACGACTATCAACCATCTCTTGCTCTTTGGCGGCACCAGCTAGCAAGGCAACAGTTCGATGCTCGGCACCCATGAAGTAGGTTGAGGCCTTGTTGGGACGATCGGGTCGCTCGTCAGGGTCGATCCCACCCACGTTCTTGTATGTCAGGTCCCGATAACCGAAACGCGTATCCACGAGGTAATCTGCGTATGGGTTCTTGAACTGATTGAGATTGGCAAGAAATATCGGGCCAAGTGCGATCGAATGTTACTTCCTGGAAGGACCATGCCTTAAGGAGCCCCATGCTTTTCTTCTTAAGCTGGCTACTCACAGCAAAGGTGATGTTGTGCGTGGTAGAAGGGTACAGTTTGATGTTGTGCTTGAACTCCAAGTTATCGATGACAAAGAGCTTTGACCAGTCAACATCGATCCGAAGACGGCGCACTTTCTCGGCTATCAAGTGGACGTGGTTGGCACATTCTTCAGCTTTTCACCAAGAGTATCGAAATCCTTGACATGGTTCGCGAACTCTGAGATGTCCATAGCATTCAACATGCAGAAGTGTGCGAGAGAGTTGATGTCATCCGCATCGATGCTGTTGACGGTGATCGCAGTAACAATGTAGTCAAGAGGGACGATCAGATCCATGAAAGGCACAGATCGACCACCATGGCGGATGGTGAACTTGAAATGCGTGTGTGGCTGACGATAATTTCCGACTGTGATATCAAGATGCACAACTAGGCCGGCACAAGGTCCGACGCCAAGGCGTGCGACGGTACCAGCATGGAAGCCAGGGAGGAGCTGGCCATGAACACTGAGGAGAAGATGGAACCAGCCAGTGGCTTGAGCCCTCATGCTGAACGTGGTTTCGTTGTTTTTTTGTTCTCGGTCAACCGGCCGATATCAACTCCATGCAGGGCAGGGCTGAGAGGCTTTTCGAAGGATGGGTGTTCCATTAGCACAGCACATACAGACATACGTCGCTTGCAGCCAGTCTGTGGAACTCGAATTTTTTAATGTGCGTCTTGGACAATCTGCACAATCAGATCTTCGATCTTTTTGGCGCTCAACACACAGTTTTTTGTAAGTTGTATATATTGAAGCTTGGACGGCGGCAATGATCCATAAGATCGTCTCTCATAATTGCCTGGAGACACGCGGCTTTCATCTCCGGATCCTCGGGACAAGGGGGAAGCGGAGGGGGATAGTGATACATCGGCAATATCGCGATAGAATCACGAGTGGTTGATATCAGATGCGGAAGTAGAGTAAAATAGAGTGGTTATAGAGTGATTATAGAGTGATTATAGAGTGATTATAGAGTGAAGCAGAGTAAAGCAGAGTGAAGTAGAGTGATTATAGAGTGATTATAGAGTGATTATAGAGTGATTATAGAGTGAAGCAGAGTAAAGCAGAGTGAAGTAGAGTGAAGTAGAGTAAAGTAGAGTGAAGTAGAGTGAAGTAGAGTAAAGTAAAGTAAAGTAGAGTGATATGCAGTAAAGATTTATATTATAAAATTATATATAAACGCAAGCGATGTTGATATGTGGGTGAGGAGAAGAGGAGAGGAGAAGAAGCAAGAGGAATGCGGTTTTAAATAACGCGGAGCTCAGGCAATGATGAATAAAAATTGGAGAGTAGGTAAACAATAACAAGAGGGAGCATGAATCACTGTGAAGGTGAGAGAATGCTGAAGGCTTCGGTGGGTGACACTGTCGGGCAGCTGGTGGCTGTTAGCAGGTGTATAAAAAAATCCGGCCGTCAACCCCTGAGGACTCCTCCAGGGGAGGGTGCAACTGACGACCGGCGAGGAACTCTCATACATCACATCCGAATGCATGCCCTGGTTATCGTAATATGGCATCTTAAGGCGTTTTGGGGCGCTGCGTTGCTTTGGTGAAGCTATTCGAACATTGTGTCTTTGCTTCATCCAGTCTCGGCATCTGACGTACTGCATGTACATGATGAAAATGATGGGGGATGGCGGTGCATGCTTGGTTTGGATACAGCTGCTGCTCAATTTATTACTCCAGAAAAAATGAATTGAAAATGAGAGAAAGCAGTACCGCTGTAAATTATATATAGGGTTTTGGCTCGAATTTGACAAAAGAGAAATATGTGACCTTGTAGTACCTAGGTAGGATTAGATGTGGGAGGAAAGATTACCCGGGTGGTAAACTGCGGGAGCACAAGTTTATCATAAGACTCATCATAAGTTTATTATAGGTTTATGATAAATTTATGTTAAGTTTATCCTAAGGCTCATCCTAAGACTCACCCTAGCGAAAGCATTTGCCCTGACCGACATTGGGATTGTGGTGCTCAACAACGATGTGACGAGGGCTCGTACAGTGTCTCCAATCCCAGAGATGGGAGTTCTCGCTGTGACCGGTCAACAGATTTCGGAAATTGGCGGGGGAATGGTCGGCAGACAACCAAAACTTGCTCTTTGTAGGTTTGCTCGGAGCGGTCTTGAATCGGCGATGCGAAGATGTTCGCTCCAGAGTTCGGGAACGCAAACAAGTCCATACCCGTCATATTGGATGAGCCGCTCTCCTGAGAAATTGCCATAATCTGGGTATAGTCTGGGCTATCGAAAATAGACCGAAGGTCATCAATTGAGTTTGGTGTGGCATGCTTGGGTGTGACATCTGGTGTGGCATTCTTTCGATTAGAGCGTACAACCCACACTCGAGGTCACGGCCACTCCCGGTCGGAAGGACGCGGTAGCTCGACGGCAGAGTGGTGTCATCACAGAGGTCAAATGAATGAGCGCTAGGTGATGTGCTCTTGTTCAAGTTTATCAGCACCAGGACCAACAGCCAGGTGAGGGACAGCTGAACAGAAGGAAGCTTCTGAGCACGTGTCGTCATCATCGACTACCAACCAGCCAGTGGACTCAGGCTTATCGGAGGTAACAGACTCAGGCTTATCGGAGGTAACAGACTCAGGCTTGTTGGAGGTAACGGGATCAGACTCAATAGCAACAGTGAGCTTGGGTTCATGCTGCCGAGTCTCGCCAACATCGCCAGAAACGATAGCAGTTACGAGCTTCATGGCAGTGGTAGTCTTTCCTGAGCCAGGACCACCAGTGACAAACGCATAACCATATGGAGTCTCCTTGAGGCTTTCCACTAGAGTTTGAACCTCACCATCAAATTTTCCTTCAAGGTAAGCACGAGTGAGGCCAGGAAACCTGATGTGAAAGCTAAGCATCTGAGGCTCAGTGGAAGTTATGACTATACTTCCAGAAGCCACCAACAACAGTCTCATTAACTGCTTCAGCGCGAGCATTGATGTTGGTGATCGCATTGCACTCGGTACGCGCTGTTGTATCATCAGGGCGGTGGTACAAATTGACCTCAATGCCGGGATAATTTGGCACGGCAATAGTCGCAGGAACCTGGGTCTTGGTTTCCTTGTCATAATAGCCGGCAGTAAACAGACCATTGAGGAAACTGTGGATTTTGCCAGATGGTCTCAACGTCCTCATTTGGAAGTCTAGATAGGGCTTCGAGAAACCTGGGGGCCAGTTGACTTGTCTACAGGTATGCGGATAGTAGAGAGCTAGGTCGGATGCGTACCGTGAGGGAGGGGCAAAGCAATTGCGAGAAACTCATGTCCTCTATCCGAGCGAGCCTCAGAGACGGCCATGGTGGAATTCTCACGAACCCAAGTGCTCAGGCGTCTGTACCAGACGTGATCGTCTTCTCATGTCTGGCGTCGAAGCTCTACGGCCAGTGTTTCAGTAGTCGTTGCACGTTGAATAGAAGGAGGCTGATCTAGTAGATCGATAACAGCCTTGGTAGATAGGCCCCTGAGGAGATGGGAGATAGGCTCAGCGGCTGTTTCAACGAATGCTTGCAGACATTTCTCTTCTAATGCGGCCATTTCTCCTTATTGGGCGGGTGATCGGCGAGCTGATGATAGTCAAGCAGAATGAATAATGTATATGTATATATAATATGCTCCGAAACTTGCTAAGATAAAGTCAGATGGAGAGGAACCCTTGGGTTATATACTAAGAATGTTTCCTCCTTGCATACATTTGTGTTTGTGGGGAGGTTTGTTGCTGGCTATGACTCTGCCACGACATCAAATTGATTCATTTGATGGCCATCGGGGTATTAGGATGATATTATCTGTGTGAAAACTGGCCAGAAAGAAACAAAGCTCTCTTATCGTCTTGTGAAGAGTTTAGGTAAAGAAGCCAGCGTTTGCAAAGAGTCTTATGAAGAGTTTCGGATGTGGCTGCATAAGATGCCTAATGTTTGTTGGGGTGAAAGTGTTTGCTAAGACTTTTATGAGTCACTATAGGAGTGAAGCTGGCAAGCACTGACAGACACTGGCAAATGAAATACACAAATGAGCTTTGCTAAATAGGTAGGTAGGTAATGCTTGAGTGTAGGCCCTAGCATAACCCCCCTGAAAGCTCACGGAGGTTTTCAAATGAGCAGCAAAGCTGACGGCTGCCAACACTGACCAATTGTTATACCAACAGCCTCTTAAAGACAATTCATACAATTACCTTAGGTAGTAAAGAGCAAAAGATTATGGGAGGTGGAAATCACAGATTCGACCTTGCCCTTCACCACCTTTTTCCTCTTCGCAACTTCAACATCCGTGAGGTGTTAACGCCTCTCACTTGTTAACATCTCCACCAAACTGCCCAGCATCCCCCCGATTGACTACTGACCAAAAGGGCTTCAAGGCTGTGTTCCCTAGTTGCACTCGTGGATTTGAGACGCTCCGTGTCTGCACCCAGTACGTCTCAAACAAAAGCAAACCCGTATCCTACCATTTGTGTCTAACGTGAGATCCAGGAATCTGTTCTCGGCCATGGACAACTATCCCTCTATTGACGCCGACAGAAGACTCTTTGTTCACAAAGCTGTTTGATGCCTTCTATCCAGGCTCGACGGCCGTCGACCCTGACATGAAAAAAGAGTTGAAGCAGGCCTGTCTCTGAGCCTGTGATCAAGGCTGATGTAGCCTAGCAAGCTATGGATTTACTTGCTGAAATCGAAGGCATCAAGGGTTTCAGCGTTCTCGCTCTCGATTGGGTCGCTGAGGACGATGTACCTACTCTTCCGATTGAGTATGATGAGCCCTTGGGTAACGAGTACCAGAAAGCAGCTAATTTTAAATCTCCGGATGAGGCATCTGGGAAACCCCTCCAATACAGACTCGCTCACTGCACGAGTTGCTTGGAATGTTGATCAGAACAAGCTCGTCGGTGATGCAGTTCGTCGCTCAGCCGCGAAGTTCCCATTGAAAGTTATTGTTCGTGTTCTGCCCTAGCATAAGGAGTTCGCCAACCCCAACCTTCAAACACGCGGCCTCTCCTGCACCTTTCGCCATCGATGTCTCGCTCCAACCCACCATGGGCAGGGGCAGTCGCGCTTTGGCCGAGTTTCTCAATGCTAGCACCGCCGGCAACAAGAACTGCATCTTCCACCCCGCGAAGCCATCATCTCCAGGTATCGTTATTACCGATACCGAAGCCGGGCTTTGGAGCGATGACTTGAAGCTCCATCCTCAAAGCCTCCAAAAGTATCCGAAAGCAAAAGACCGTCCCTGTCCACTTGGAGTCTAGCATTCTGCCACTTGGCTGGGCCTCAATGTCTAGTGCTTGGTAGAGCATCAAAGGCCGAGGAAAAGAGAGCCACAGTGATCGCCGAGGACGAAGAAGAAAGCCAAAGCTGGCAAGAAAGAATAGACTGCCTAACGGCGGAACACACTCTGTGCTGGCATCAAAGTGTGCACTCCTAATCTTTAGACCCTACCCTATCAGGGCTGTCACAGCGTGCGTTGCCAGCTGTTAACACTTGCGAACTACCAGCAACGAAGCTGTTAACGAAGTTGTCAACAACAACAGCGATGACTCTCGCGACACCAATGTCAGGCGTCGTCGTCGCGCTCGCTCTCCTTCAGCCCCATCATATTCGGATAGCCTTAGCGAAACTCTCGTTACGCAAGACAGGCGTGTTGTCACTTCTCGATTAGCTGACGGTTGTGCCAACATCCATAAGCATTTGACCGAACAAGAGAGGAATTCCTAATTTTCGTACTACTCCAGCCGATTCAAGGCACACGTGATGTCGCCCTACCAAATCACTCATGATCATTGGAATAGTATACTCAAGTCTTTGACCATTGGAACACCAACCCCCACGAGCCTGCCGCCCTGCCTCATGTAGCGTACTTTCGTCGAGGCTGGCACCCTCACATCTGGCCAGCCTCTCCTAAAATCGAAGCGACGAACCTGAAAGTCGTGGTAGACGATTATCGCTCAAGAGGCGTAGTTGTCAGGCTTGGCGTGTACATCAATCCAGACACGAACACGATCACGTTCCCATAGACCGGCATGAAAGGAGGCTATGTCAGCGACTCAAACGTTTCATTCAATGCCGGCAGAACCCAAGTCGATCTCCGCTTGGAGGTCATCGAGCGCCATGGCAACTTGCCAACCGTCGCACTTCAATTGAGAATGAGATCAAAGGCGCTCTCAAGAAAGAAGATGACGCTAAGGTTGCTGACCTCGAAGCATCTATCGATAGGCAATGCACCCGCTCCTTCATCACCCATGCTGCGCAACCTATCTTTCGACTTACCATGACTCCCTCCGCTGCCGCTGCCGCCGACTTTGAGGGCAACCCCCCCTTCTGTCTAGCAAGCCGCTACTCCCAAGGATGTTGTTCGCGAGCTTCGTCTATGGTTCAACCGAGTTAGCGCTTGGGTATTCAAGAGTGCGAAGACCACTATGGCAGTCGGCGGTACAGACAGAGGCCCCGAGCACCATGGAGTTCGCGTTCCCAATCCTCCTGGCACACTGGCAAACATGACTCTATCCCATGTCTCCACCGCCTGACAGACAAACTGGCCTCCGGGTCTCGTCAAGTCGTACATCGACTTCAAGATCGACACCATATGCCCTGTCGGAAGCCTGCCTGCGAACCTTCCTCAACGGCCTCTTTTAGTCTGACTTCTTTGATAAGCAGCGGGAAGAGTACATTCGTGGAAGCATCATCGTCGCAGGCTACATGAGTGAACATGGACACTACGCCGGATGCATCAACGGTCATGAACTACCGTATTCAAGCGTCAAACCTTGAATCTGGCAGCTCGCTTCTGGAACTACAGCCACAACTTCTAGAAGGAGCCTGCCAAGGTCAACTTCCACGATATGTTCCATGCCTTTCCCGCGCGTACAAGGAGGGCGAACTTGATGATGAAGTTGCACATCTCGTCGAAATGCTCCGAGGGTTACCTGCTGGCTATGCGTTTTACACTGGCGGTCCTGGTTCTGGGAAGACTACTACTGTGCTCAAGAGTGTCAGGGGTCCATCCTTTCTGGTACTCTTGAGAAAGTCGACGTCCCTGACCCCGTAGCCCAGGAGAGTGAGACTTCTAATGCTGCTGCTGATGACAACTGGGGTGCACCAGCTGTCACGGACAACTGGCAAACCTCTGATACACGCGCCGATAACAAGTCTAATTTCCCAGCGTTCCTTCCGTATGAACTTGATCCTAAGCGGCTAAGGGCTTAGGTAAATTAGCATAGGACTTAGGTAACTTAGCCTAAGTTTAGGATACCTTTTACTGAGTTTGTTTTAACACTTTTCATTTACGTCTCATGTTTTCTAATTCCCCGAGGGAGGAGTGTGCCTTATATGCCATCATCGGGAGCATGGCGCACCAGGTACCTGATCATGCACTGTCAATCGACGACCTGCGTTGTATTCTCGATGGCCCTGAAATGACTGAGAGAATGGCGCCACTCTCTGACGTAGGCCAGTCGAGCTTGACTGTCGATCAGATCGCTGCAGTGCTCCAACTTTGGGGCAAACAACGCCCTATCGTCCTCCGCTTGAATATCATCGTCGACGGTGCCCAGCTAAAGATGCCCTTTCCATTGATGATTGCACCACAATCTGGATTCACAACGACAACGCTGTGGAGTTGTTCGGCAATGACTTGAACCACTTATCTGGTGTGAAGCTGCTCACTTGAAGCTTGCCTTCCACAGAAGCTAGTTACGAAGATCAAGTTCTACAAAGCATGGCGCACGTCGACGGCCTGGTCAGCGCTCCTGCGCTCGATGAGAACGAAGAAACACCTGCACCGTTCACAGAGTACGAAGAGCCCGAGCTTGGCGGAATATCTCAGCCAGGCCAACGAGCGCACTTTCCGGGATGTCAACCCTACTTGTGTAGTTGCATTAGTCTCAGAGTCTACTCGCAAGATTGCTACTGATAACGAGAAACTGGCCGGATACCTTGTCGGCATGGCGAGAGAAGAAGCAGGATCCCGATGCATATGCCATCAATCTTGTAAAGCACAAGGAGGTCTTCCGCAAGCTCATGGAACACGCCATTTCCCTCATCGTTGTCGACGAAGCTGCCCAGCTGGCCGAAAACCTGTCACTCGTAGTCCATATACATCGGCGATATCCGACAACTCCCGCCCATCGCTGTTACCGTCGACCAGCAGGATTTCAATGCAATCGTCTCTCTACAGAAAAAGACCATCCTCTTCCATCGAATGGAGAACGCAGGACAAGTTCTTTTCCGATTGCGCCGAAACTACCGTGCATACCTCCACTCACATGAATTGGCTCAGAACATGTTCTACGGCGACCTCAGGGGGCAAGAAAACAGCGAACCTTATTGTGGGGGGGGTCAAAATAAACTTAGCAAAAGTCATCCTAAACTTAGGCTATATTACCCTAAGTCTTTTTATCATTTAGGATCGATTCATTTGGTCAGCTATTTCAACATCCCGTAGGATCGAGGTCCTGTGTTTTCTTTCCTCCCCTAGGGCGACCAAATGACAGTGGCGAATCGTAGCCACATCCTGGCCACTCGGATCTTCATGAACTGGGTGGACAAACAATTTGTACGCTTCCATACCAAGTCATCCACCATCCTAATTCGCCCCGGCAGCTGTTCGGAGACAGTCTGTGGCACCTCATACTACAATGAGGGCTACGCCAACTTCGTCATCCAGCTGACTATCCAGTTTTATCGACAGCCAAATCCCATCCACGTGTGAGACGCGTCGTGAAGAGCTTCAGTTCTTATCCTCACAGCTTATGTTTCGCAGAAGAACAAATACCAGCACTTGTTGAATGAGGTTACAGCAGCTGAACTTCCCAAGTCACTCGTCGATGTCCGTACCATTATTGATGACTCTTTCAGTCCCGAGGCTGACTAAGTCTTTGTCGATCTCATTTGAAGATCTCGGGCGCAGTTCATAAGAGCCAAGTTCAAGAAGCAGATCCCGATCTCTCCTGGTGTATGGCAGCCAACACTGCCTTCTTTAGCCGGTGCGAGCTTCAGTGATCTATCCTGGGAACTGTCAACTATGGTGTGGATGATGACTACATGCCAGACCAGGAAGATGATCGTGATGATGACTGATGGAACTGGCCGCCTTTAAGTTACACGCCAGTCCAATACTGATAAAATATCACAAGCTGCAACTATCGAAGATGACGTCTCGAGCCATTTCAACGACATTGGTTCTGACGAGGAGTTTCTGACATACAGTACTGTCCTTGTCAAATCCAGTCATGCCCACAAGGCGGTGATCCTCAGAGAACTCGAGAAACTCTGTATGATCGAGTGGGCTCAAGAGGCAAGTAAAACACCCCTGGTTTCGCGGGTGACGACAGAAGAGCACAAATCATAATTATTCTCAAGGATCTCTATGAAAGTGACCAGCCCCAGATTCTACGAATTGGATTGTCCATCTTCGTGCGGAGGTGCAAATGAAACTTGATACTTTCGGCTCAACTCGCTTAAATATACAGTTGTATGCATGGCACTCTGGATGATGACAGATGCTTCTCAAGTGTCTTCATGGGGCTGCCTCTCGATGACATTGTTGATTCGACCTGACAACGCTGAAGAGTCCAAGGGCGGAAACAGTATCTCAAACCCCGCCAACGCCTAGGCCAACTTCGCGGTGCAGCTCGTCGTCCAGCTCTATCGAGATGCAGCTCTCGTCGAGGCTCGTGACTTCTCCAGGCGCGCGTCTGTTCTCATCCTGACTCCATACAAAGAACAAAAACGTCTATATGATCTCTTGCTGCGACAATTGACCGAGGCCGAAGTCCCTAAGGATCTGGTTGAAGTCCGAACTGTTGACGACTCACCCAGTCATGAAGCGGGTGTCGTCATCCTCGACTTGGTGCGCACCGTAAAGAAGGGGTTCATCAACAACGCCCCTCGCATGAATGTCGCTACGACTCGTGCTCGTCTTGGCCAATTCGTGATTGGTCCGGGCAAGAAGACTCCCCTTGAGTGGCCCTTGAACCACCTCATTGCTTTCACCGAGGAACGAAGTGCAGTCATCAATCTCAGGGACCGCTGCCGTTGGTACTTTATGTGCAAGAACTGCTGTCAGCCCGGTCACATCGCTATCGAGTGCAAATTCAAGCCGAAGTGTGTTCGGTGCGATGGAGAATCCCATGCGACTCGCAACTGTCCTCGCGTGGACGAGGACGCGATCTCGACATCCGTATCCGAACCGATCACTGCTGACGATGGCATTCAGCGAGATGTTCTCAACCCTCCACGTGTCAACTTCTCCGACTCGAAGCGATCCAAGAAGAACAGCACCACTCGTGAGGAAGCGTTTGCTAAGCCCGACAAACACAAGGACGCTATGCGCAAGGCCTTTCGCAATGCTATGCGAGGGCTTCGTAAGGTCAAGAAGGACCAAGACGTCCAGGATGTTGAGACTGACGAGCATGATCAGGCGGACGACGATGGAGCTGACGATGGTGTCTGGTAAAGGGCAGATGGACAGTCATGATGTGTATGAGTTTTTTTTTTTTGCATATTGTTCACGTAGTGCTTCATCTCCTGACTGCGATGTACAAACGCCAAGCTTAGTAGGCAAGGCACGTATTTGCCTATGCCACTTGACATGACAGCAGTCAGTATTATGGTCTTGGGATTTATAGTCGTTAACAACCCTTTGATTCTCAATGCTACCCGAAGTGATAGTCCCATTCCAATGCATCCGTAATTGATTTTTCATTTCTCTTTTGTTCCCTTTCCCGAAATGAGTGCTGCCCATTTTGTCGTTCCTGTGAAATTGCCCAAAACACCAAACGACGGAACCCGGTTCCGACCCATTTCCTTTTAACCGGAAGCATGATATCGCAAAGAAACAAAACCCAGCAAACAAAAGGAAGAAAGCAGAAAAAGGAAAAAGAAATCCGACTCTCAAAAATCTCAAATGTGGTCAGTTTCCCTGTAATACCAATCAATAAACCCATTTCCCAGTCATGTCAAACCCAGCATTCGTTAGTATCGAAACTCCAAGTGAAGGGGACTGCAAGTGATTGAGGAGCAGCCATTCTCTGCACGCACATCGCTCTATGTGCCGCAATCTTTGCGATTGTGGCATCGTCGACATCCCGGATCAGCGGCTTCGCCATAAGGCCCCTGAGCAGATGTACGTCACCGAGCCGGAAGGCCGAGCCCTTTGCCTTAGCCTCAGCGAACTTTCGTAGCATAGAGCGACCCGTAGCGATAGTAGTAAGGTCGTGGTTGGAAGACTTCATTGCGTTCCCCCAGTATAAGTCGTGTCTGAACTTGGCTTCGAATTCGGCTCGAGTCATGTCCCAGTCAGGTTGGAGTTAAACCTTGTCAAAGGCACCGATCTTTCCTTTCGCATCTTTCCAGCTGAACTGCAGAGAAAACCCCTTGTTAATAGTAACAGTGTAATATGCCGGTTGACCTTTCTTGAGAGCTTCGTCTTGCTTGGGTAGTTCACCGTCCCATTCACTGGCCCTTTTCTGGCCCTTGTTACTCCTGGAATGAATTAGACAAATCAGAATCGGCCAAGGTATACTACCAGACTTCATTAGGGGTGCTAGATCGAGACTCACGTTGCGTTGGCGGCTTAGATGATGTTTTGCGTTTACCCAAGTCCAAGTCCAAGTCCTCCTTCCAGACGCCGGCTGGCGCTCCAATCCGGATTATCGCGGGAGAGCGAGGTTCGGCAGGAAAGTAGATGGGATTCATATCCGAAGGATCCTAATTTCGATATATTTCATGCATCAAGTCCAGCTTCATGTCAAGGGAACGGAGATCATCCTAATTAAATCAAAATTCATCACAAGTTCTTCTAAAAGCCAAAAATTTAGGATAGCCTTAGGATAGCTTTATCATAAATATTTTTATGATGTTTCTGCTCCACCTTCTGAACTGAATGGGAGATCTGATGGCAAATAGAGTTAGATACTGTTGCATGTTTGTAAACTCTCTGTTCTACAGGAGGACGCGAGCGACAAACTTGTCGGAGCACTGCTTGATGCTTGACGCAGTTGACGGCGAAGGCATCGGAGTCTTCCTCGCCTCGTTCCAGGCTGTGATAGCCCCCTACCAAGTTTGCTTGTCAGCTTGCGCGATGCCACGAGCAAATTCAGAGAGATATGGAAAGACACGTACCGGGTGGCTGTTTTCAAATTAGCGAGCTCTGAAGGTATCGAGATGGTGAGCCATTGCCACGTCGACATTGAAGGCGATAGAGTGACCCCGGGTCTGAGTCACAACAGGCTTCGCATCGATCACACGTCAGAGACTGCCAGACTCTTGTTTCTGGCAGGACGCGGACAAGAACCTTGTCAGGGCAGGCTTTGGATGCTCGGCGAGCAGCATCGTCTGCCAGCTTGTTCTGGCCTGCAGTCCAAGCAACCTTTGCGGTAATAGGAGTGGATTCGAGCCCAACTGGCCAACCTTGGACTGGAACTTCGGTGCCATCTGGTACCCGTTAGGCGCCGGGTTGTTGTACCCCGTGATGGGAGCCACAGTTGGTTCATTGACCGGATCATTGATGCCAGGAACTTCAAAGCCCTTGTCGCCATGGACATGCTGGAAAAGATCAAGAACCTGTCGAGCGGCAGCGGATGTCTTGACCATTTTCGTGTCGCTGTTGTGCCAAGCAGAGGAGGCTATCTCTTCAGCGACACAGAAGGCGTGATGATATTGCGAGTGATATGGCCAACCTGCTTGGCAGAAAGGGCATGCTTTGAAGGGTACATCGATTGAGAGTTCTCGGGGTGAGTTTTGCATCCCATTCCGGAAATATATGAGCACTTACGAAGTATCATTATGATCCATTGTTCCCATTGCGATTCTGTTAGTTCACCTTTGAGCTTCTCCATGTGACGGAATCGATCAGAGCAGCATGTTCTCTGCTGTGTGATGACTTGTCGTATCATATGCTGTAGACGAATAGCCTGCTGGGGACTCACTTCCCTGCCATCATCCGCATAGCATGCGCAAAGATATTCTGAAAGTTTCTGGGGAAGACAACACCAAAATTATACGACCTCTCCGCTTGGATTTATCGAGAAACCACTCCGCGTCATATAAAGCGTGCAAGAGCTAAGAGTCCGCCCTATCATGCTAGATCAGATAGTGCTCTTGAAGCGTTTCGAGGAAGTCCTGCCATCGAAATTGATTATCGCCTCAGCGAAGCATTACTGCGTCAACAATTCTTCGTGGACCACAAAAAGCTCCTGTCCAGTAAATCCCCCACTGCCGAGTGCAAGAGGTCTCTGCTCCAGGTACGAGTTTCGAAGGATCTTTATGCCGTCCTTAAGGTCCACGGCAACGAGGACGTTCAAAGTTTTGCTTCGAGAGATCAGTCCATAAATAAAGAAAAGAAGAGATATGAACAAGTGAGAAAATATCAGAGGCCAAAATAAAAAGAAGAAAGTGGGGAAGAAGTGGCCATGTAAAGTCAGGGGGCACTTGCTTGCCAGCGATTCACCCAAGTGCCTCAATACAGCATGGCAAATATGTTATTCCAATACTAGGTTGGTCCTTTCCCTTGCTTACCTGCCTGGGACCCGGAGCATAAGAAAGCTTCTGACTTTGAGCACGGCCTGACCTTGGGGATAAAGCCATTGAAAGATGGTCGGTCTGTTGAGGAATACATGCAGTTACATATGCCCATGGCAAACAAATACAGTACTCAAAACAAATACACATACAAGAAACTGAATTTGATCAAACCAAATCGGATATCTAGGCGCGGTGTGCACCAGAGTGAATAAGTCGTATGGCGTAGATATAGCGATTCCATGAATATCAACCTCACACATCTAACATTCAATCTTTCGGCCGGTCTTCCAAGCACAAGCCTAAGCCTCGTACTAAGTTCACATCCAAATACTCCCATTTTAATCCCCCGTAACGCCACGCGCAATGCAAACTGAGCCCAGCAACCTCGGGATATAATACCACACATTTCGTGCCTGTCCATTAGAGCGTCCCGACCATTAGGCTCTCAAGCATACCCCCGGTTTGGCATGCTACCTGGGCTCTCTCCACCTCAACCCTAACTCGGCGGTGTAAAGTCCTAAAGCCTTCATGCAGTTCTGCTGAACCACCCACGAACTCTGCGTAGAGCTCGAGAAGGTGGAGACCAACCTCTACGCAGACGCTAACATAACGGGGGTCGCAGATGTGACTGCAAACCCATTTCAAGATGGGCTGAACTGTGTGCTCGTCTCGAGACTCCAAGGCATCTTGGAGAGCGCTGCGATGGCGGAGGGCCAGGAGTAGGGTGAGCACGTTGAGGGGGGAATGCTCAGGTGAGTCTTTGTCGAGGACTTGATCGAGTGCACGTGCATATCGAGCATGTCGCAGGTCACTCTGCCACGGGCGCTCTTTTTTCTTGTACGCGCGAGACTCGTTGGCGATGACAACATCGGCCCCCTCGCCAACCATATCCAACTTCTTTGCAGCAGTAACTCTCCTCTTCCGCTTCTTACGTTTGGCGTCATGGGCTTCAATTGTTCCAGCAACCAGAGCAGCCATTTCCTTCTCCCGTTCGGCTTCTCTGTTGGCCTCGGCTCCAGTGAGGCGGGTTCGCACACTAAGAACACCGGACTGCATACCAACTGCTAGATGTCGGTCGCTTGAATCGGCATCATCACTGGACGGGATAACCTTGACAGACAGAACGGGAGATTGATACTTGGTGCTCGAGACAACGTTCCATCCAGTCGTTTCGAAGACTTTAACGTGACCCTCAAGGCCACCACTGACAAGTCGTCGACCATTGGACGCGAGGCTGAGAGAAGTGACTGTCTTCTGGTGGTTGGTAATCATGTGCAAAGGGCGTGCGGCAACAAGGTCGAGAACGCTGATCGATTCACCCGCAGCTGCAAGAACTGCGGTTCCGGTAGGCATAGACAGCACGTCTTCAATAGGCGCAGCGTGCTTGAAAGTCATGACCGCACTGTTGCTTCCTGCCCTGGGGTCCCAAAGCTTGACGGTCGAGTCGTAGCTTCCGGAGACAATCATGTTGGACATAGTGCCAGGCATGAAGTTGGCACATCGAACGTAGTCTGAGTGACCAACAAATGTAGTCGTCGGGTCGTTGCTTGGGAGATCCCAAAGTCGCACAGTTTTGTCGTCGCTTGCGCTCAGCAAGGTCGTCAGCTCAGTCTGTGAGAACTTGGTTGTCCAGACTGGCTGCTTATGCTGCGTCCATGTCTTGAGGATCGCCCTAGAATTGACATCGAAGACTTGAATCTTTCCCGTATCATCACCAGCCGCCAGTACCCTTCCATCTTTCCTGATCTCACCGCTACGTGCAACGTCGCCGAAGCGTGTAATAGTCTTTTGAAGCTTGCGCGTCCGATTCGAGTAGATCTGGATGCGTGTGCCTGTGGTGACTGCGAAAGAATCGTTATTGGCCGAGATGTGAACGACGGGATACGATGTTGGTGACGGAATCAGAAGTTGGTTCTTGAAGGTCTTCCAGTATCGTTGTTCCGCAGTGATTGGCGTAGGGCCCGAAGGCAGCTTAAGCTGTGGCAGAGGTCCCACCTGAGCAGCCATTGTCGAGTATCGCGATGACGGGCTTTCACTGTGGTGGTGTTTAGATTTCAACTGCCTCGAAGGTCGCTATGATTTTTTTTCCAGAACCTGATAAGATAAGGTACCTAGGTAAAGAATTCTGATGGCTAAGGTACCTAGGTACTTGAGAGCTTTTGCTAACCCCTTTTAGGTTAACATCGTTTACCTAGCATCAGCTCCACTGCCTATAGACCCATACAATTCTCTTTTGCGACTATCCCCTGACAAAAAAAGCCCGAGTACATGCAGAGAAGATACGATGTCAACTAAAAGAGAGAACGTAAGTAAGTAACTAAAGGTATTATAGATATCTTACCTTGGGTACCCTGAGGTGTTTATATGGAGCTTCAGCAGGAAATCCATCATCGGATCCTTTGTCATATCACGTGCCTAGCCTAGTCCTTGTGCTTGGTGGCAGCGAGAGCGACCGTCGAATGAAATAAATCTAAAGGTATATATGAGAATTGGTTTCTAATTTTGAACAATTTTCTTCATATGAATGCACAAAACTCCAACGTTACCTTACGCACCCTCCCAAGTTTTGCCTTATTCCAACGCCGAAATCATTACTACCGTGAATATAATATTATACATTTCCTCTAGGTCTCGTTACCTTTGGTGATCTAATATCCTCCCCTGCGTCGGGACCTGCCTGTCCCGATATCAATTCGCTGCATCTCCTGCACTAATGCTAACTCCTGCCCTGTGCCGTTGGCACCGCTCATCATGGGCAGAGGAATCTTGGCTGGAATGGGAGGACCACCATATGCACCCCGATTTTCATCTTCAAAGTCCCATGTTCCTGCGCGGGGTAGGCCGCGAAGTGAAGCATTTCCATATGGAGCCCTCTCCTGGTAATTATCCTTAGAAATTGGAGCCAGTGGACTAGAGGCTGCTGGGGAGTTGCCAGCCGAAGTGCGGTTAGTGCGCTTCTGAAGACGGGTGCGACCAGCCTGGGGAGGTGTGCGTGGTTCGTCGGAGAATGAATAAGATGGGTTGACAGCGGACATCGAATGACGCCCACTTCGAGGTGGCCTTCGAGTGCTTGGAGGCATTGGTTGTGCCCCTGATAACGGAGGTCGCGACCGTGTTTCGGTGGGGGTAGACTCCGGTTGCTTCTTCTCCGGTTCAGGGGCCCATGTCTCCATAGGAAGATGGTCAGATGGATCAATCTCCCGTCCGTCGTATGTGATGATTTTCTTTGGCTCCTCGTCCAAGAAATCCGGTGATGGGCTTGCTCCGTCTTTGGACGAAACAAGACTGGGGTTCAATGCATCATATGAGTCAGGTCCAAAAGGTATATCTGACTTTCTCCTCTGATCTTCGAGCTGTGGCGCAGGACTGACCGATTTACGCTTGATCCTGTGCTGTGTGTTGGGGCTTGTGCGTGGGTCGGGCGATATGGCTCGAGGTTTCACAATTTGTTGCTCCGGCGGGTTGTAAGTGATTGCCCGTCGGTTGTACGGCTGAACAGCATAAGAATGCTCGGGTGGCGGCTGGTTATATTCCTGGAACGACTCGTTCCTCGGGCGTCCTCGAGGTGGCGTGTGCATGCTGGACATGCTCTGAGAATGCTGCCTTCGGTCATGCCGGCGGTCCTCATATATGAGATCTGTCAGTTCTTGAGACTGGTTTGCATCCAAACCCGGCACGAGAGCTGCTGGGAGAGGTGGCGCGGCATAGTTATGTGGGTTTTGCCTATGCGCGACAGTCATGTCAGTCGAGTGGCCTTGGTAATGGCCTTGGCCATTCTGGGGATAATAGGAATTATCTCCAGCGTTTCTCGAATAGCCTCGACCATGAGATGGTGACACTGTCACCTGCCAGTCCTCAGGGTTGTGGTAATCTTGGGGGGCGTGCGATGGCGAGTAATCGTCCCGGAATGGGGCCGGAGCAGGAACAGGAGATCGCCGCAGGACGAGAGGTGCAGGGCTGGGGTTGTCATCGAAGCAAAGCTCATCGGAACGCTGGAGCTGTGAGCCATTTTGGGCAAAGTTCTGACCAGGTGGACCTGAGGCTTCAGGGACATCTTCAACTGTGGGCTG